CCATCCTGTTCTGAAAGCCAGGAATGTCGTCCGTAACATTGCGGAACAAGAAGGCACAGACGAGAGCGAGAACGACCGACAATACATAGTGGGAGGGCATAAGCATCGGATCGCGACAGAAGTTCATGAACTGGACCATTGACAGACTGACGCGTCGATGCGATTGGGTCTCAGATAGCTCGCGTCAGCAGCTCATCATGGGCAGCAAAAGCTGACCAGAATTCTGCTGCGGGCTTTCCAACTAGTCGCATTCAGATTGCTCATGGTAACGACAAATGCCTCAGCGATCTCAATTTGCGACCTTCTCGGTCTAGACCTACGCGGGAGATTGTTTCTGCATTCGTCTGCTGTGATCAGCCAGACGTTGTGATCGTGAAATCTGCCTCTAGTCACAGCTCCGCGGTAGACGTGCACGTGCCTGAGCGCTGAACATGACCGAACATGAGCCAGCTAATTACATACGCGTCGAGACCGTAGACTTAGCCGTCAGCCCTCGATCAATGAAGCCTGAGTCGATGGAACCTTACGCAGTCTCTCGTGCACTTCGTTCGAGACGGCAGAGAGCAAGACTGCAATCTTGCTCTGTCGTTCATATCGCTTCACAGGTGCGTGCGAATCAATTCAGCAGGGGGAGCCCTCCGTTCACGGTGCCTGCAGCCATACCGGCCCAGGCACCCATCCCGACATCGTACCAACGCAGGACACTGCAACCAGCAAAGGACTAGCGAATTCTGGCATGACTGCCCCGGAAATCCGCATCACCGCTGTCAGCCCAGCACCGAGCGAGTCGCTGCATCATATACCTAAGAGAAGTGCGATTGGTACTAGCGCGGCGGGAGCGCTGGACTCGGCCTCTCAAATCCGTCTGAGCGGACAAGATGATCACATTCGCATGACAACCTGTTCTCCGTCGCTATCGATCAATCATCCGCGCGGCAAAGTCACCGCTGCCACGCGCCGTCTCGACGAAGATCTGTCGGCCTATCAAGCAGAGCATCTTGATTCCAAGGCTCGACAGACTCAGAGAAATCTCGAGCGTAGTCCAGGCAGTCCCCGTTTCGAGGCTACTTCAGGAGATAACCTGGTGCGCGCGAGCACGGCATTTGCAGTGCCTACGTTGCCAGCTAAGAATCCGCGATATCAGGACTACTCGCTCACTGAATCCAATGCAAGCGAGTCGGACGACGCTGAAGCCTATCCTGTGCCGGGTCGCTACGGCATTATAGCAGCTCAAGCACTCAAGAGAGCTTACGCCTCACTCGATGATCCCATGGTCACAGCAGCACTCATCGCAATTGCGTTTGCAATGCTTTCTATGCTCTATTCGGGTACGTGGGCTTGACGGGTTGTGTGGACGTCCATGCTGACGCTGGCGTCCAGACAAGCTGATCCAGCTCAAAAACCCTGCACAGACCGAAGCAAGAGACCTTCACCTTCTGTCATCACGCGTTGCTTCTCTGACGGATGCACACGATCTCCTCAGTGCTCAGATCAAGCAGACGTATGACGCCTTTGCAGACGAGCTGCTAGAGATGAACGACACGCTCTCGCGCGTGCAAAGCCAATCAGAGACATTGTCCAAGATGATGGTAACTATTGTCGAGAAAAATGGACAGCTCAAGCAATCGTTCGAGCACTTGAGCGAGCAAGTGCAAGAACGCTGTGCTTCAGATGAGCGCGGCGCGCTGTCTGGCGTTGCAACGCAGCAAGTCCGCGACATGATCAAGGAAGCCATGAAAGAGCAGATGGGCGAGAGCCTAGCGGCGAGCGGAGAGGTGCAGACGGCAGCCTCAATAGATGTCTCAGCTGTCTTCGAGACGGTCAAACGTTCATTGGTAGAGGAGCTCCAAGCGGACATCTACAAAAATAGCAATGGCAACGGATCTCTAAGCCACGATGACGGCATGCGTACCGTGCTTCAGAANGCGGTCCAAAGAGAGGTGGCTATCGCGCAAGACGGCGTCGCTATGTCCGACGTAGCTCTCGCTTCTGCTGGCGCTCGCGTCATCAAGAANTGGACAGGCAAGTCCTTCATCAAGACCACCAATCCCATCAAGAAGTGGTACGCGACCCGTCATCCCTTTCGCCCACCCGAATACGCTATGGATATCGATAGGACTGCCGGNTACTGGAACCTCGTGCGTCAGAGCGAAGAACAACGACTTGCCGTGCTCAAATATGGAGACGATCGAGGCAAAATGGTCTATCTGACTAATGGTACCTACACGCCTGCAGATGACTACTTTGGCGCTACCCAGACCTGGCCCATCGTTGCCTCTGCCAAAGAGCTCAACCTCGCCTACGAGATGATCTTACTCAAGATCACGTCTACCCATGGCGCAGAGAATGGCTGCCTGTACCGCTTCCGCGTGCATGGAGGTCT